CTACCAAAGTATCCCTATAGAAGAAGAGACTGGGGGCGCCTGGGTGGCTCAGTTGGTTAAGTGTCTGCCTTTGTTTGGTTCAGGTCATGATGTCAGAGTCCTGGGATCAAGCTCTGCATGGGGCTCCCTGCCTGTGGGGAGTCTGCTTCTCCCTCTCCCTCTGCACCCCCCTCCCGCTTGTGCTTGCACGCTCTCTCTCTCAAATAAATAAAATCTTTTAAAAAAGAGAGATACTGAAACCCCATAACCCCACAGCACTCAAGCAGATTTTGTATCTTGTTCCCTTAATACATTTGTTTTTATGTAAGAATAACCCAAGTGACCTAACATGACAAAAGTAGATGCTGCAGAATGATGAGTCAGGTTTATTCTGTGTGTTCTGCATATGGCATATTAGCTGGTGACCATGGGGTGTGAGGTGTGGCAGTAGGATGCTAGCTGCCATTTCCACTACTAGATGATTGAAGAGTCAGTGTAGAACTTTTTCTTTATTGGAACTTCTTGATTTCCAAGATTGTGAAAGAGTGGACTATTGCACTGTGTGACTGATAAACTGGAAAATTTTATGGACTGTTATAGTACTTTTATGGAATGTTATAGTGTTTCTTCTAAATAAATTATTCAAAACTTTAAAAAGAGAACATCAAGAAAGCAAATATTAGAGTAGAAAAAATGATTCTGAAAGGCGTATTTTAAAGAACTTACTTGCAAAAATTTTAACACATTTTTTCTTTTCTTGGTGACTCTTAAAAAACTCTAATTGTCTTAAGTTGAATTTTTACTTAAATATTATCTTTTCTATCAGAGTTACTTTTGTTGTTTTTTTATACAAGTGACTCCAAAGTTGTTTTTTTTTTACTTATTATAAAAGATACTAACATTTCTTCAGCCAGCATAGTTCTGAGTTTTTAAAAATATTATCATTTTGTATCTAATAGTATTCTGGTTATATTAAGTTGCATATATGTTGAATAAAATACTTTTCATAGACTTGGAGTGAGGGTGAATATGAACCATGTATTCTTGTGGATATTTTGAGGTAAAATTCATTTTGAGACACATGCTTTGAATGTAATTTGTGCTGTTTATGAGGTGTTTTCCAGCAAGTAAAATATAATTCTGATAGCCTGTTGTAAATATAAATTCTAAACCAAAGTTTTTAATACACTGCAGATTACCTTCCTTCAGTGGTTTTCCGGTTTAAATTAACTTACGACCAGTCACCGTATTGTTCAGGTCCTGATTACAAATCCATATCAAAAGAAAATTGAATAGACTCCTCTTTCTTCATTGACTTTAATTTAAAACTCAATTCATTTAGGATGCACAAAGTTACAGATTTGAAAAGTTGATAAATCCACTTGAATTGTAATATTAAAATATGTCCATGGGTTTTGTGTTTGGGGACCACCCTGCTGTGCTTTACTCTCTGTGGTGTAAGACTTGGCCATTGTATTAGTGTGGTATTTTCTCTCCATTCACTAAAATCTGCGTTTTTTTCATAGGGTTGCTTATTTGGTATAATGTTTTATTTTCTATTTATGTATAATAAATATTAACCATACACAGAGGGCTGTGTCAAATGACCATATAGGGCAAAATGATTCCTTTTATTCCTTTTGGTACTGTAGGGAATGATAGTATTTCTCTCTCTCTCTTTTTTTTCCTTTTTTCTTTTTTTTTTTTCAAGATTTTATTTATTTATTTATTTGAGAGAGAGAGAATGAGAGAGAGCATGAGAGGGGAGAGGGTCAGAGGGAGAAGCAGACTCCCCACTGAGCGGGGAGCCCGATGTGGGACTCGATCCTGGGACTCCAGGATCATGACCTGAGCTGAAGGCAGTTGCTTAACCAACTGAGCCACCCAGGTGCCCTTTTTTTCTTTTTTAGAGAGGGAGAGAGTGCATGCGAGTGTGGAGGCATGGTGGGGGGCGGGAGGGGCAGAGGGAGAGGGAGAGAGAGAATCTTAAGCAGGCTCCATGTCCAGCATGGAGCCCACTCTCACAATCCTGAGATCATGACCTGAGCGAAATCAAGAGTCAGATGCTTAACCAACTGAGCCACCCAGGAGCCCTTGGAATGATAGTATTTCTGTTGTTTCCTTTGGCATGTACTTTTAAAATTTCCAGCTATTTATTTTTTTTATTTTATTTTTTTTTAAAGATTTTATTTATTTATTTGAGAGAGAGAATGAGAGACAGAGAGCACGAGAGGGAAGAGGGCAGAGGGAGAAGCAGACCCCCTGCCGAGCAGGGAGCCCGATGTGGGACTTGATCCCGGGACTCCAGGATCATGACCTGAGCCGAAGGCAGTCGCTTAACCAATTGAGCCACCCAGGCACCCTCCAGCTATTTAAAAAATTCAGATGCAGATGCTTAAGCAGAATATACTACTTTTTGCAGGTGGTTCCTTATACCCTAATGGCTCTTTCCTGGCTGATTGATCTGTTTCCTTCTGATGATCACATACTCCATGGTGGCATCAATAAAGTCTTACTTACTTTATTTTTTTTCTTTTTCTTTTTTAAATTTAAATTCAATTAGCCAACAAATATTAATCATTAGTTTTTGATGTAGTGTTCAGTGATTCATTACTTGCATATAATATACCCAGTGCTCATCACATCACATGCCCTCCTTAATGCCCATCACCCAGTTACTCCATCCCCCCACCCACCTCCCTTTCCTCAACCCTCAGTTTGTTTTCCGGAGTCAGGAGTCTCTCACGGTTTGTCTCCCTCTCTGATTTCTTCCCATTCAGTTTCCCCTATGATCCGCTGCGCTATTCCTTGTGTTCCACATATGAGTGAAACCATATAATAGCTGTCTCTCTGATTGACTTATTTCACTTAGCATAATACCCTCCAGTTCCATCCATGTCGGTGTAAATGGTAGGTATTCATCCTTTCTGATGACTGAATAATATTCCATTGTATATATGAATCACATCTTCTTTATCCATTCATCTGTTGAAGGGCATCTCGGCTCCTTCCACAGTTTGGCTGTTGTGGACATTGCTGCTATCAACATTGGGGTGCATGTGCCCCTTTTTTTCACTACATCTGTATCTTTGGGGTAAATACCCAGTCATGCAATTGCTGGGTCATAGGGTAGCTCTACTTTTAACGTCCTGAGGAACTGACATACTGTTTTCCAGAGTGCTGTACCAGCTTGCATTCCCACCAAAAGTGTAAGAGGGTTCCCCTTTCTCCACATCCTCACCAACATTTGTTGTTCCCTGTCTTGTTAATTTTAGCCATTCTAACTGGTGTAAGGTGGTATCTCATTGTGGTTTTGATTTACTTTAAAAATATTCTGTGAAACACTTCTATGAGGTTAAAATGGTTCATGGTTAGTTAATGAGTACTAGTAGTCCTTTTGTCAAATTGGTCACATGCTTGAGCTATTTGCATGTAGTGAGCTACAGAGTTAGATAAGTAACATTTCCAGTGGCTTTCTCTTCATTTTGGCAGTGGAGGAGTTAAACAGCATCTGTTCTTCACCTTGTTTTCCTGGTGAGTTCTGTTTTCCTTCTGGGTTCTCTCTCTAGGATTCTCCTCTGTCTTTTCCAGGTGTCTCTTTCCCTTCTTGCTTTCCCACTCAATTTGGCATGGTGATGTTTGTCTCTGAGTGAGTAAGGTGAAGAGCAGGGCATTATGCATGTTCATTTTCCTGTAGCTTGCATAGCTGAATGAATGAATGAGTCTGCCTCAGACAAAGTGCAGGAATGAAGTCAGTGGTGGAGAAAACGACTATATTTTGGTCCATGATATACTGTTGAGTGAAAGGATTGCTGCATGTTAAGCTTCCTCACTTAAAGGACTCCTCAAAACACTGCTCCCACACAGACTGGTGGGGTAGGTTTCCGAGCATTTGACCAGAGCTGTCCAGGAATTTGGTTCAGGAAACTGGTAGCAGCTAACCTTTTTTTTTTTTTTTTAAGTTTTTATTTAAATTCCAGTTAGTTAACATACAGTGTAATATAAGTTTCAAGCGGGGCACCTGGGTGGCTCAGTTGGTTAAGCGACTGCCTTCGGCTCAGGTCATGATCCTGGAGTCCTGGGATCAAGTCCCGCATCGGGCTCCCTGCTCGGCAGGGAGTCTGCTTCTCCCTCTCCCACTCCCCCTTTGTGTTCCCTCTCTCGCTGTGTCTTTCTCTGTTAAATAAATAAATAAAATCTTTAAAATATATATATGTTTCAAGTGTACAGTATAGTGATCCAACACTTCTCATCACAACAAATGCCCTCCTTAATCCCCATCACCCATTTCACCCATCCCCCTCACCCACCTCTCCTCTGGTAACCATTAGTTTGCTTTCTGTAGGTAGGTTAAGAGTCATTTCTTGGTTTGCCCCTCTCTCTCTTTTTTTCCCCCTTTGCTTGCTTGTTTTGTTTCTTAAATTCCATGTATGAGTGAAATTTACCCAAAGAATACAAAAATACTAATTCAAAGGGATAAATACACCCCTGTGTTTATAGCAGCATTATCTACAGTAGCAATTAACTGTATTAAATTGATCAGAAAGAAACACAGAAAGGTGAGAAACTGCTGTTTCTTCTCTTTGCCAGGCATTGGGACAAGTGCATCTGGAATGATTGCTTCTAGGAGTCTTTTTAAAATGAGAGATTTCTCTATTAAAATGTGTATTTACCTTTCCTAACCATCTTTATTGTTTTGTCCATTTATCAGATATTAGGCAGATTGAATTAAAATTTGTAAGTTGAAATTTGTAAGGCTTAGTAATTTTATATGTTATAAAAACAATTCTTGGTAGCTCTTTTTGTAATGAAGGTCAGCCTTTAGTGATATAAGTATGTATCCCTTAGCTTTTAAGAATTCTGACTCTAATTTTTAGTACCAGGGTTTTTTGATGATGGAGTTGGTTTATATTTGCATAAAACTCATTCTGTGAGAATACTAGAACATAAGCTTTAAAAAATCTATCTGAAATTTTATCATAATTGGCAAATTACTACTTATTTTTGTTGTTTCCATTTAGGTTTTTTCCCAAGCAGTTCTCAAGGGTGTGATGCATTTCTTCGCCATAAGATGACACTGATCTCTCCCTCAGTATTGAAGAAGTATGGCATTCCCTTTGACAAGGTATATTAGTGTTATTCTTTAACATTCATTTTGTGTGTGTAGTATTTTTATGTAAGACAAATTTAACACAAACTAATATATCCTTGACTTCAAATAGGGTTTTTAGGATGTGGGGAGAAAAATTCAGATTCTTGTTTTATAACATAACAATTATTTATCTAAATACTCATTTGAAATTTTATTTATGGATACATTTACTATAATTTCATGCTGGTTATAGTTCACTTATAACAATAGTGAAAGTAAAATGCAGGACATTCAACAAAGTAAGATGTAGCACTTCTACATTAAAGTCTTTTATATGGGGCGCCTGGGTGGCTCAGTTGGTTAAGCGACTGCCTTCGGCTCAGGTCATGATCCTGGAGTCCCGGGATCGAGTCCCGCATCGGGCTTCCTGCTCGGCAGGGAGTCTGCTTCGTCCTCTGACCCTATCCCCTCTCATGTGTTCTCTCTCTCTCCTTCTCTCTCTCAAATAAATAAAATCTTAAAAAAAAAAAAAAATAAAGTCTTTTATATGAACAATATAATTTATATATATGTGATCTATTTTTTTTAAAAGGAATTCAGAACAGGGGCATCTGGGTGGCTCAGTTGGTTAAGCATCTGACTATGGCTCAGGTCATGATCTCAGAGTCCTGGGATTGAGCCCCTCGGTAGGCTCTGCACTCAGTGGGGAGTCTGCATGTCTCTCTGCCCCTCCCTCCACTTTTGCGCGCTCTCTCTCTTTCTCTCAAATAAATATAAATCTTAAAAAAAAAGAACTCAGAACAATTATTAGTTTGGTTGGAGTCAGTTTTTATGATACCAGTATGTTTCTTCTAAACATATTCAGACATAATACAATTGAGAGTTCATTATGGATAAAATTGCCAGATGATTTAATAATCAGATATTGCTTCTTTGGAATATTTCTGAAGATTAAGTTCTGTAAGACTCACTACATACTAGGTTCCTCTTTCTTTGTGCCCATGGGTAGTTACTGGGTCAGAATTATTATGGAGCATGAGGACTTTTATGTGAAGAAGCTAAAATGACAAAAAGCTTTTGACCAGATAAATAAAGGCTCCCTCTCAGAGGAGGATTTAGTAATTAGCTACTTGTAGAAACATTAATAAGTAACTGTACTCTCTTCTTCATCTTTTTTTCTTCATTTTTAATTTGACTTTTCTTCCCGTAATATTTGCTGTTTTTCACCTCAGAAGTTTTTCACTTGTGCCTAAATCTTTACCTCTTCTTCATCTTGGACGCTTAAAGTGCATCCCACCCCCCCACCCCCAGCTTTGTTCAAAGTAGAAGTTTTTCAAGGACCAAGAGTCATTCTCCAACTTGAGGTGGTCCCTGCTCACTCACAAACTGTCTATGCTGTATTCATGCATGAGATGAGACACATTTTCTTGTGTGCAGGGATGCTCTCACCACTGTTTTACTCACATAGTCTTAGCCATGACACAAAGTGTGACTTCGAGATGTATACTGTGAGGGATGTGCATGTGTGTGGAGATAAGTTGGTGATGGACTACAGCACTCTCACAGATACAGAGGGCAGGGGCTGTGTCCCCTCCATGGGCCACTGCCACTGTGGGGCTCTGCCTTACTTGCAGATACCTCTAGGCACTGGGCTTTTCAGTCTCAAACACATCATCAGTGAGTGTTTCTTTTAGATGGCTGGCATTAGCTTAATTAGACACTTTTCTTTAAGTTGGAATTTTATTTTATTTTTTTATTAAGATTTTTAGTTTTTTTCTTTAAGATTTTATTTATTTGACGGGATAGAGAGAGTAGGAACACAAGCAGGGTGAATGGGAGAGGGAGAAGCAGGCTTCCCGCTGAGCAGGGAGCCAGATGCGGGGCTGGATCCCAGAACCCTGAGCTGAAGGCAGACGCTTAACCGACTGAGCCACCTAGGCGCCCCTTAAGTTGGAATTTTAGAAGGGAGAGGAGAATGAGTGGACTAGAGTCTCCCAAGGACAGAACATCCTTTATGATTTTAGGGCTGGTGATAGATATTGATCAGGCTGGTCTTTGGAGAGGGGATCATGTGAAATAGCAGACTGTGGGATTGGTTCATTTCCCCAGGATTGGAGGCCTTTGGAGCTTGTAGTTCCTTTCCAAGCTTTGGGGAAAAGGAGGCAGGTGCCCTGCACCCCTTTCTGGGCTGTGGCTTTTCAATACTACTTGGTAAAACCCAATGCACCAGGCTCTCCTTTAGTCTCTTGAGGATGGTACATTTCATGGCTTCTGAAGACACCACTGCCTCACCATCTGATTGGCAATTGCAGTTTTTTATATGAAATACTGCCACTTCCCCTTCCATGTTGATGAAGAATGTGTGGTGACTATGTGCTCCTCAAGGAACTTGTTTTGTGATGATGATAATGTAACACGGGACAGAGTAGTGTAGGCTTCTGAATTAAACTTCCCAAGTTCATTCTTGATTCTGTCATTTGGGGAAATTATATAATTTTTCTGAGCTTCAGTTACTTTAGCTGGAGAACAATGATAATAATAGTACCTACTTAATAGGGCTATTATGAAGATGAAAAGAGATGATCTATAAGAGGGCTTTACATAGTATATGTTATATAGAACACATTCTTTCTCCTTAGTTTGACCCTCTTTTTAGGCAATCATTTCACAGTTGGAGTAACATTTTCTTTCTTTCAATGTATCTGCACATAATCATATATATATATGTTTAATAAACTGATAATGTCTGCTTTTAGATTATGTATATTTCCTTTCCAACTTCTTTTATGATATGGAATTCTTTTCTGTCACTGTGCTTTCTTATCTACGTATTACGCAGAGGCAGTAAGATCAGCCAAAAAATATTTTGGCTAACTGGGACTGACTGTTTCTGGAAATTATACAGAAACATAAAATTTAGAGTCCCTTTCAATGGGAACAGGTACTCTTTTCAACATGGCAAAAGCAGGATTTTCTTTTTTTTTTTTTTTAATTATTTTATGTTAATCCCTATACATTACATCATTAGTTTTTGATGTAGTGTTCCATGATTCATTGTTTGCGTATAACACCCAGTGCTCCATGCAGAACGTGCCCTCTTTAATACCCATCACCAGGCTAACCCATCCTCCCACCCCGCTCCCCTCTAGAACTCTCAGTTTGTTTTTCAGAGTCCATCGTCTCTCATGGTTCGTCTCCCCCTCCGATTCCCCCCCTTCATACTTCCCCTCCTGCTGTCTTCTTTTTTTTTCTTAACATATATTGCATTATTTGTTTCAGAGGTACAGATCTATGATTCAATAGTCTTGCCCAATTCACAGCACTCACCATAGCACATACCCTCCCCAGTGTCTATCACCCAGCCACCCCATCCCTCCCACCCCAACCCCCACTCCAGCAACCCTCAGTTTGTTTCCTACAATTAAGAATTCCTCATATCAGTGAGGTCATATGATACATGTCTTTCTCTGATTGACTTATTTCACTCAGCATAATACCCTCCAGTTCCATCCACGTCATTGCAAATGGCAAGATTTCATTCTTTTTGATGGCTGCATAATATTCCATTGTATATATATACCACATCTTCTTTATCCATTCATCTGTTGATGGACATCTTGGCTCTTTCCACAGTTTGGCTATTGTGGACGTTGCTGCTATAAACATTGGGGTGCATGTACCCCTTTGGATCCCTACATTTGTATCTTTGGGGTAAATACCCAGTAGTGCAATTGCTGGATCGTATGGTATCTCTATTTTCAACTTTTTGAAGAACCTCCATACTGTTTTCCAGAGTGGCTGCACCAGCTTGCATTCCCACCAACAGTGTAGGAGGGTTCCCCTTTCTCCACAACCCCACCAACATCTGTCATTTCCTGACTTGTTAATTTTAAAAAGCAGGATTTTCTAGGTAGTGTAGAAAAGGGTTGTGGATGGGATTCAATGGAGCAGTGAAGGTATTTTCCTTATCCCAGTGGCAGCAGCCCTACCTTCTTCACCCATCTCTGTGTAGGGTTAGAAACAGCTGACCAGGGTGAGTTTTGTTTTATCACATAGTACAGGGAAGTGCCTAGTTTCTAAGCACAATTACAATTAATGAAATTCAGTGAGGCCAGGAGAGGAGAGAACCAGGCTGTGTTCTCATGTGGCTCAGAATGATGGAACTGGAGCCATGGTGAACACTGATGAGTGGTTCTTTACCTGCCAGGTGGCAGCGGGGTTGCTGCTCATTATTGTAGAACATCTGCTGGGCTGTCATGGGGGAGAGGGCGATGAGATAGATTTCAGATTTATTGTGAAAGAAAATACTTCCACATTTGTTGCTTTTTCTCTAGTTCTTTAAGGTGTAAAGTTAGTTGGTGAATTGGGGATTTTTCTATCTTTTTGAGTGAGGCTTGGATGGCTGTGTATTTCCCCCTTATGACCGCCTTTGCAGTATCCCATAGGTTTTGGACCGATGTGTTTTCGTTCATACTGGTTTCCATGAACTGTTTAAGTTCTTCTTTGATTTCCTGGTTGACCCAAACATTCTTGAGCAGAGTGGTCTTTAGCTTCCAAGTGTTTGAATTTCTTCCAATTTTTTTCTTGTGATTGAGTGCCAGTTTTAAAGCATTATGGTCTGAGAATATGCAGGGAATAATCTCAATCTTTTGTTATTGGTTGAGACCTGATTTGTGACCCAGTATGTAGTCTATTGTGGAGAAAGTTCCATGTGCACTTGAGAAGAATGAGTATTCTGTTGTTTTAGGATGGATTGTTCTGTACATATCTATGAGATCCATCTGGTCCAGTGTGTCACTCAAAGCTCTTGTTTCTTTGTTGATTTTCTGCTTAGATGATCTGTCCATTGTTGAGAGTGGAGTATTGAGGTCTCCTACAATTAACATATTGTTATCAATATGACTCTTATTTTGGTTAACAGTTGGCTTATGTAGATGGCTGTTCCCATGTTGGTGGTGTAGATATTTACAATTGTTAGATCTTCTTGTTGGATAGACCCTTTAAGAATGATATACTGTCCTTCTGTGTCTCTAACTACAGTCTTTAGCTTAAAATCTAATTTGTCTGATTATAAGAATTGCTACACCAGCTTTATTTTGAGGTCCGCTGGCATGGAAGATGGATCTCCATCCCTTCACTTTCAGCCTGAATGTATCTTTAGGTTCAGAATGAGTCTCTTGTAGACAGCATATATATGGGTCCTGTCTTTTTATCCAATCTGCAACCATGTGCCGTTTTATGGGAGCATTTATGCCATTCACGTTGAGAGTGATTATTGAAAGATAGAACTCATACAGCAATTCAGTAATGTGGCAGGATACAAAATCAATGCACAGAAATCAGTTGCTTTCTTATACACTAACAGTGCAACTGTAGAAAGAGAAATTAGAGGAACGATTCCATTTACAATAGCACCAAAAACCATAAGATACCTTGGAATAAAGCTAACCAAAGAGTTGAAGGATCTATACTCTAGGAACTACAGAACACTCATGAAAGAAATTGAAGAAGACACAAAAAGATGGAAAAACATTCCATGCTCATGGATCGGAAGAATAAACATTGTTAAAATGTCTATGCTATCCAGAGCAACCTATACCTTCAACGCCATCCCGAACAAAGTTCCAATGACATTTTTCAAAGTGCTGGAACAAACAATCCTAAAATTTGTGTAGAATCAGAAAAGACCCCAAATCACCACAGAAATGTTGAAAAAGAAAAACAAAGCTGGGGGCATCACGTTGCCCGATTTCAAGCTATATTACAAAGCTGTGATCACCAAGACAGCATGGTACTGGCACAAAACAGACATATAGACCAATGGAACAGAATAGAGAGCCCAGATATGGACCCTCAATTCTATGGTCAAATAATCTTCGACAAAGCAGGAAAAAATATGCAATGGAAAAAAGACAGTCTCTTCAATAAATGGTGCTGGGAAAATTGGACAGCTGTATACAGAGGAATGAAACTTGACCATTCTCTAACCCCATACACAAAGATAAACTCAAAATGGATGAAAGACCTCAATGTGAGACAGGAATCCATCAAAATCTTAGAGGAGAACATAGGCAGTAACCTCTTTGACATCGGCCACACCAACTTCTTTCAAGGTATATCTCCAAAGGCTAGTGAAACAAAAGCAAAAATGAACTTTTGGGACTTCATCAAGATAAAAAGCTTCTGCACAGCAAAGGAAACAGTCAACAAAACAAAGAGGCAACCCACAGAATGGGAGAAGATATTTGCTAATGACACTACAGATAAAGGGCTGGTATCCAAGATCTATAAAGAACTTCTCAAACTCAACGCCCAAAAAACAAATAATCAAGTCAAAAAATGGGCAGAAGACATGAACAGACACTTCTCCAAAGAAGACCTACAAATGGCTAACAGACACATGAAAAAATGTTCATCATCATTAGCCATCAGGGAAATTCAAATCAAAACCACATTGAGATACCACCTTACACCAGTTAGAATGGCAAAAATTGACAAGGCAAGGAACAACAAATGTTGGAGAGGTTATGGAGAAAGGGGAACCCTCTTACACTATTGGTGGGAATGCAAGTTGGTACAGCCACTTTGGAAAACAGTGTGGAGGTGCCTCAAAAAATTAAAAATAGAGCTACCCTATGACCCAGCAATTGCACTACTGGGTATTTACCCCAAAGACACAGATGTAGTGAAAAGAAGGGCCATATGCACCCCAATGTTCATAGCAGCAATGTCCGCAATAGCCAAACTGTGGAAAGAGCCAAGATGCCCTTCAACAGATGAATGGATAAAGAAGATGTGGTCCATATATACAATTATTACTCAGCCATCAGAAAGGATGAATACCCAACTTTTACATCAACATGGATGGGACTGGAGGAGATTATGCTAAGTGGAATAAGTGAAGCAGAGAAAGTCAATTATCATATGGTTTCACTTATTTGTGGAAAATAAGGAATAGCATGTAGGACATTAGGAGAAGGAAGGGAAAAATGAAGCAGGGAATTGGAGGGAGAGATGAACCAGGAGAGACTATGGACTCTGAGAAACAAACAGGGTTTTAGAGGGGAGGGGGGAGGGGGGATTGGTTAGCTTGGTGATGGGTATTAAGGAGGGCACGTACTGCATGGAACACTGGGTGTTATATGAAAACAATGGATCATGGATCACCACATCAAAAACTAATGATGTATTATATGGTGACTAACATAACATAATAAAGTAAAATTAAAAAAAAAAAAGAAAATACTTCCACACACAACATTTTAGTATACCTAAAATGGCAACTGAATTGCCTTGTATGCATCTGTATTTATATAGTATGTCTCCTGTATGTCTACATACACATACATACTCACAGATTCATTTCTCAACATTTTAGGACTGAATTGAACCATGGTGACAAAATGAACCATAGGTAATAAATTTGATAATCCATCATTGCATAGGTAAATTTTTAAAAAAGCATAGAAAAATTTTGCTTTACTATTTTTCTATAGCTCATGGTGTATTTTGTGTGTTTTGGTGATCGTAAAAAGTCAAATGTCTTTAACTTAAAAAATAGGAATGGAATAAATATATTTTTCATGTTTGCTTTTAAGCTCTGACTGGTTTACCCAAGTTACTTTAATTATATTTAAAGATGCACTCACACATACATATTTAAATAATTCTTTGATAGAAATTTTACTATTAAATGGTATATAGTTAATTGAATGTTTTCTGAGTATTATGAAAGAATAATTTGGTGAATACCACCAATTCTTTAGCAACAGAATTCATAGTAAAGCCTGTTGAGCATGGATTATTGGAGTTTTTATAGCTCTAACTTTGAAAAAACATCAGTCAAAATAGGTCCTGTTATGTAACTCCAGTAAAATGAATTTTTAAAGTATTAAAATATGCAGCTTGATTGCTAACATGAACAAATTTACTTGGGTAACTTAAAGACATCTTCAAATAAAATATAATATCTTTGATTGTAGACATTGCCAGAAGGTCACACCCTGTTTAGAAAAGTCTTTAATGTTTCCTGAAAAACTGTTAATGAATTGGGTAAAGATCTGGGGCTACTTCTTTTATATGAGATAGCTCTAATATCATGGCTTTTTTTTTCTTTTTTTATAGGAAATATATTTTAATTATATTTGTAATTTGGAAAGTCTTATAATTGGAAAATATTATGTTTTCTACCCTATAGATCACTCAGGAGGCTGGAGAATTTATGATCACTTTTCCATATGGCTACCATGCTGGTTTTAATCATGGTTTCAACTGTGCAGAATCTACAAATTTTGCTACAGTCAGATGGATTGACTATGGGAAAGTTGCTAAATTGGTAAGTTATGCCTCAAAAATAAAGCATAAATTAAATGTGTATTCTGGATATTGTAGGAGGAAACCCAAGATCACATGCAACACTTTTTTCCTCCTCATTGATATTGTGTGCTTCTCACCAGGATAATTTATTTCAGACTAGATATGTTTATTTTACATGGCCTATATTAGCACTTGTAGCCACAGTTTTCTGTTTTGAGATTAATGTGGAGCAGAGGTAATTTTATGCAACTGAAGTTTGCTTTCTTTCTTAAAGCCACCAATTGTTTTTTTGTGAGATTTTCTAGTGGCTCCCTGTGGCTCCATGTTAGGTAGACTTGGCTCTCTCCAGATTGAGTTTAGCCCATAGCTTAGAAAACAACTACTTACAGATGAAAGTGTCTGTTAAAACTATAGTAAGAGGTTGAGGGAGGATGGTAAGAAGAAATGATTAAAACTGTCTTTAGTGCAAAAATGAATTTCTTGAAAGTAATGTAGAACATACTTTAACAAGACATATATCTTTATGTTAAATTTGGTATGAAATTTTGTATCTCCTGCTCAGTATATTTAATTTATTACACAGACTGTATATTTTCATTCACAAGCCACAGCTTCTATTAAATTTAATTAATCTCCCCCTGTGGTCTTAAATAGAGGACATCTTCAAAGAGGTGGTAGCTTCCATTAGGTTGCTTTCTTTCCTATGGCTTTGGAGGCAGAAGTAGAGGCTGGCAGAGGGCAGCTTCTAAATGAAACTATGTATTTTACAGAGTATGTAGAATTGACACAGATTTAATAGAAAATGACATATACAACTTATGTGGCTGTATCTTGGCCACTGCATGGTATAAGTGAGTATTATTCATTCTACATTGATAAAACTTGCATGTAGAACCATTGGGTGAACTTGGATAGAAATATATTCAGGGAAGAGAACACTAGGTTTAATTTAGATGTGTATTTAGAAAATTACATAATATATTAAAATAGAAGTATAGCCCTTTGGCAGCCTAGGAAGCATTTGTGTGAACTTGTGAAAAAAGGAACGCTCCTGCTATTAGAAGACTTTTTCTGTTCTAATTTCTATTTATGAGGGGTAATTTAGAAAGGAACAGAACTGAACTACTTCTTCCCATTACGCATCCTTCATATTATAATAAACCTAATAAAAAAATAGAAAACTCAGTGTATGTGCCAGCGCCTTGCAGTGCTTTCACAGAAAGGTAATGCTTGTATCTACATTGGAATAGAGACATAGACCCGTAGTTACAGCAAGGTATGTTATTTTATGGCTTGCCTCTTTAATCATTGACATAATAAGTCAGCTATCACAGCTGTTCAGTTACCAGAAAAATTAGTTGATGCTTGTTTACTGTGGGTTTCAGATGTAGCTCATTGTATTGATACCATGGGGAGAATAGCTTCCCCCAAAACTAAAATGTTCTTAGTGGGTTTCCACATTTCTTTGTGCATGTAGAATGGGACTGGGGTATGACCAAGGAAGGGAGGTTGGGTAGTGGTTTCGTCTCTGAAATCATAGCTGACAGAGCCTAGAATTGGGGGACTGTTAAGAAGTAGCACACTGTGGTGGAGGAGGCAGGGATCGAAGGTCCAGCTTTTCTTCTAGCTAGCCATATATCATTAGGAAAGTCATTTATTTATTTTGTTTGCTTTTCCTGAATAAATTAGAAATACCTCTCCACTCCATAGATTTGTTATGATGTGGAAAAACCTTAGGTATGTGGGTATCCACTCATGCTGTATTGATTTATATCATTCAGTTTAGTTAAGGAATATGACTGTCTTTGTTCTGGTATTTTGCTAGGTACAAAATTGTTCAATGACTATGACGCAGTTTTGGCTAGTTAGTTAAAAATTGTCTTAATTGCATGCATTTGAGATGTTTTTAGGTGTTGTCTCCACCCTTCCCTTACTTTTGGTGATGTATTTGTTTTCTGTTGCTGTTGTAGCAAATTACTATAAAAGTAGTGGTTTCAAACAATACCCACTTACCATCTCATGGTAAGTTTGATATTAGTCTCACCAAGCAAAAATCAAGATGTTTGCAGGGCTGCTTTTTTTACTGGAGACACTGGTGAAGAATCCATTTCCTTGCTCAGTCAGGTTGTTGGCTGAATTCAGTTCCTTGCAGTTGTAGGAGTGAATTCCCATTTTCTTGTTGCCTGTCAGCCAGGTGTTTGCTCCTAGAGGCATCTCTCAGGTCCTTCCATGTGGTCTCCTAGATTTCAGAGCAAGCAGTCATATAAGATGACATTCACAAATTGCAGGAATTAGGACATGGGTATCTTTGTTGTTGGGGGTGGGAACGTTGGGGCAGTGTTCTACCACAGAGAGTTCCAATTAATAATTGACATGGTGAAATATTAAGAATCTTCTTTGAGTAGATGTAACTAATTTTAGTTATTCTGTACAAGAACTGGAAACTAAATTTGTAATGGATACAGTTTTGAATGTTTCAGTAAAACATACTTATGCTTTCTTAAATTATATCCCTCAATTTTAATATTTTCTTGGCTCTCAGTAAATAAGTTCTCTTATATTGTAGGGCGCTCTGATGGCATTTTTGTGCATATTTTGGTGTCTTTGTCATTTATTTGACACATTTTTATTGCTCTCCAAGGCTATTTCTTTACACAGCCATATGAATACTGTATCATGTGTATGTGTGTGCATGTGTGCATACATGTGTGTGTAGTTTTTAATCTTGGGAAAATTTGTGAATTGGGCAGTTATTTTTTGTGTTTTGCTGGTGATAAATGTATAATGGATTAATTAGGAACTGCATTTGACTTTTAGCTTTGGGATACCTGGGTGGCTCAATCAGTTAAGCGTCTGCCTTCAGCTCAGGTCATGATCTCAGGGCCCTGGGATCGAGTCCTGCATCGGGCTCCCTGCTCAGTAGGGAGCCTGCTTCTCCCTCTGCCTGCTGTTCCCCCCTGCTTGTGTTCTCTCTCCCTCTGTCTCTCTCTTTCTCTCACAAATAAATAAATAAAATCTTTAAAAAAAAGATTTTAGCTTTGAAGGTGCCTAAGTTAATTCTTAAACTAACAAATTTTTGCCTTCTTAATTCTTTGCTTTATCCAGTTTATTCTAAATGACAGCTATTAAGAAATAGTTATTGTACTCAGGGATAGTTTTATATTCACATATAGTAGCATCTGAGGGGTCCTGTAAGTCCTATCTATCTATAAATATCTCTCCTTCAAGTACCCAAAGTTTTATGCCTTTATGTTTTTATGGTTATTTGGGATTAGAGCACCTTACAAATACATATGTACTTGAAAAATATATTTTAAGGCTTTAGTTAAAAAAAAAGAAATAGTTATTATTCACAAGTGATGATGAGGTATGCTTTTGAGGGGGGCACATAATTTAAAAAATAATGGTGTGCTTTTTCATAGTTGAACCCCAGGGGGAATGAGATCTCCTTTACCTGTCACATGGGGTTAATATGAGTATATAAAAGCTTCCAGGGGCGCCTGGGTGGCTCAGTTGGTTAAGCGACTGCCTTCGGCTCAGGTCATGATCCTGGAGTCCCTGGATCGAGTCCCACATCGGGCTCCCTGCTCTGCGGGGAGCCTGCTTCTCCCTCTGCCTCTGTCTCTCTCTCTCTCTCTGTCTCTCATGAATAAATAAATAAAATCTTTAAAAAAAATAAATAAATAAAAGCTTCCAATACAGTCTCTTTGTGGGACAGAATTAATGTGGTACAGCATGTGGGGTCTCTACTGGTTACATTTCATATATTACAAACCAGTATTTCTAATTTGATGACTTAGAAAAGAGCTTTACAAAAGCCTATTTTTTAATTGAAAAAAAAAAAAAAAACAAACAGCAAAACATTAGGTTTTGAAAGATAACCCCAGGGTCACTGGTAATGTTGGAGATATTGGTGATTTTTATTCAGAAAAATCCTGTACGATACTCTAGAACAGAAGGGTCTTGCCTTTAAGAGAACTCACCTGCCTAAGAAGGGGGTTATGTAATTTCGCTCCATTTCATTGATCAAAGGTAAGGTTTTCACTGAAGAAAAATTGAGAGGAATGTTCTAGGTAGCTACGTGCCCATTTGCCTACTGAGTTAGGCAGAGTTCAGCTTCAGAGAGTACTCAGTGAGTTCCTCCTTTGCAACAGGAATTGTGCTACATGTTTGTACAAAGAAGAAAGACATGTTTTCTTTGTCTTGAAGAGCTTTTATAAAGAGCAGAGGGGCTTTTAATAAACCTCCATTTTCAAAACTGTAGTATGAATAGAACATACTATCTAGTTATTTATTTTAGGCATCTTTATAGCATTGAACATCAGAGTAATCTAGAATGAAATGCTGTATTTTTTTCTGATAGAGATTTAAAACTATGTAGCACTTTAGCAATTGAAATAAGATATTGGTGCATATTTGAGATGAATGTTTTCCATTTCTGGAGCATTCTCTCCTTCTGTGGTGCAATGGAGTCCATGATTACTTCTGTACAGGAGCTGTGGTGGCACTCACAGGTCTGCTTCCTGGCTAGGTTGGATCGAAGAGCTGGCCTGCAGGTTGTATTTCATTTTTCCGTTTGGTAGGATGAAGTGCAGTTGTTTTGATGTTAGGTTTGATGGATTTGTTTGCCACTGCATTCATTAGCTTCACATCAAAAAACTGACAGGCTGTTAAATGAAACTTTGGCTTAGATTTTCAGCTTGACTGTTTGGAGACATTTGTGAAGATATTTTGTTTTTGTGTCGCCGCAGCCTCAAGCACTGTGATTGTCTCAAAGGGAAGAAAAGTTATTTACTGTACTGATTTTCTTGAGTAAAAAAGAACCATTGTCTTGGGAACAGTCATGTCTAGCCTACACCATCAGAAGTGGTGTATTTATGACCGTGTGTGCAGTGTGAGAGACTTATCCATGGCACGATAAATAATGTTATCTTCTTGGAAGGAAAGGTAGCAGCAGTTGGTGGCTCCAACGTGATACCTCTTATTTTGCATTAATTTTGTTTTAGGTGATAATCTATT